TGGTTCAGTGGAATTTTGGTGAACAGTGCACTGATGGAAGGGCTGCCTTTGTAGACCTGACATCTTGTGATAGTATCCTGGAGATTTTAAGAGAATGGCCCTATGAAGCCAGCATAGGAAGAATTGCAAAATGAGAGACAAATTCATGCCATGGTATTTCTATCACAGAGGGTTCTTTGTTGTGATTTTGATGGTTCTTATCAATCTTTGCAGCCGTTTTGGGGTCAAACAGATGGTAGATGAGGGATGAAGCAAGTAGTAAAGTTTAAGCTGCAAAAGGCACTTCCTAGAATGACAATTCAGAAACATTGTTTTCCCCTAAAGTATCATATCTTTTCAGGAAAAGGAGGAGGGAGTCCATCAGAATCAGAAATCCTGTGTTTCATTCAGGTGTATGGTAGCAAACATAACTGAGTTCTTTTCTTTATCTTTGCTACTCCCAAGACAAAGGACCAGACTTGTTTGTGAATTTAATTATGTAATTTATTTATATTTATTATTTATAAAACTATAATATAGATTTTATTTATAAATAAAAGTATATATATTTAAGTGTATCTGAAATACAAGAAACTGTAATTGCTATAATGCAGTCTGAAACCAGTGTATGTTGGTGTCCTCTAAGCTCCTCCAACTCTTGCTATCTATCATTAAGGATCTCTCAGGTTTCCAGTTTTATATCATAAAGACAGAAAATTTGTATAAAGAGAATAATCTAGACTCAAATCCTGCCTCTGATATTAAATTCTATTTGATTTGGAGTAAATTACTCTTCTTTTCTGAACCTGTTTCCCCAAATGTAAAATAGGGGTGGAGGTTAGGGAGGCTTTAATAGAAATCTCAAAGGATATTGTAAGAATTCAGGGTGCTCATATATGTGAAAGTAACTGGCTGTGGTTTGGTCAACTGTTTTTCTACATTGTCTCACTTTTGCCTGCATTTGCATATTGGGGCTTAGGGGTGGCCTCAGAAAATGACTGCTAGCAACAGTCATGGTGGCTCATTCATATGCAAGGACCCAGCAAGGGCCAAGGGAAGTTTTTAGAACCATGATACAAAAGTCCCAAGCTTCACTCTAATTGGATACAGAAATGCCACGACACCAAGCCAATTGACGGCTCCTTGGGAAAAATTGCATCACTGGTGACACCATCAGCAAAGATATGTCAGCACTACCACAATTAACATGGGGTGCGCTGGCAAGGAAAAATTGCATCACCAGTGACACCATCAGCAAAGATATGCCAGCATTACCACAATTCACTGCACCAAATGATAGTTACATAGTCCAGGCAAGTTCTGCAAGCAGTTCAAAGCGGAGGGGTCTATCAATATGTCCATTTCCTCCCAAAATCCGTTTCCTCCCAAAGTAAGTTGACTCTTTGATTGAGCATTACTTGTTGAGTTCTTCACCGGCACTGGGATGGAGATAGGAATTCTGGCAATGATGCTAAAGAGACATTATCCTGAAAAGAATTATTAAATATAATGAAAAGGAAAGGTGAAAGTAAACAAACAGATCTGTTAACCTACTTTAAAAACAATCCTTAACAGCCTTTTACCTAATTTAAATTAGTAAACAAACAGATCTGTTAACCACCTTTAAAAACAATCCTTAACAGCTGTTTACATAATTTAAATTAAACCATTTAAATCACGTGAATAGAAAAATAATAATAATTCGGATCCATTTTTTCATGAGCGCTCCTCATATAAGAAATATGGACATACACACATACAGACATACAACACAAAACACAAGAGTGTACACAAACGTACAACACATAAGAAAATAGTAAAGGCCTTGTAGCTTTACCTAGGTGAAATCTCCATTGCAATGTTTAAAAACTCCACAGTCAAAAAATAAAACTGATCAGAAAAACATTAACCTAGGTTTGTATGAGCTCAAAAAATAAAAATAGAACCTTATGATGTGGAAAAATGCAATAATAAAATAGCTATTGAAAAAAGCATCCTGGTTAATCACTGTCGCAGATGTAAGAATGGCCAAGCTGGAGTTCTGGATATCAGCTGTTATGGATTTGAGTCAAATCATCTTCTTTTCGATCTGTAGAAACTGTTTTAGTTAATCTCTCTGGAATCCAAATGGGCTGCTGTTCTCCCTGTGGAAAAACACAAACAGACCCCCGACTCCAGATAATCACTGGGTCAGGACCTTTCCATTGTCCTGTTAGAATATCTTTCCAAAGTACTTTAGGCTTATGTACATTTTTTGGATACATATGCCTTTCCGCAGCACTAAGTCCTGATGAATCCAAATTTAAAAAGTTTAGAGTAAAAAGCGTTATTTTAAGTTTATCTTTGGGGGATATATACCCCTTTCAAATTCCCTCTTTTTGCTTTAATAAGTATATGTCTGTATCTAATAGTTGTCTAGCTTTTTGCATTTTTCTATCTGAAATACCTTACTTGACATTTTCAACCATTTTTTATCTTATTTCTATCTTCCAGTTTTTTTTTTCCCCCCTAAGGTTTGTACATTCACCCTTAGTTGCTTTTTTTCCTTAGTTTTTTTGTTTCCTATTTTGTGGGTTTAAAATTCTTGTCTTTCTACATCTTTTTAATCTTCCTATATCTTTTTTATCTTTCTACATCTTCTCTCTTTTTTTTACCTTTCTGTATTTCTGTTTTTAAAGTTTTTCACTTTAAATTTTTAATCTTCTTTATCTAAATATCTTTTATCCTATTATCTTCCCATTTTTTTTTAAGTAATGCCTTTAAGATTAACTAGACTTCGAATGATGCAATAAAGCAATCTTTTTTCCGCCATGAAGGTATCTCGACCACCTTCAATTTAACCTTTTAAAGCCTTCCAATTATCATCTATACAGTACTTTTAAATATACTTTTTCACCACCTACAGCTTCACTCTTTTAAACGAGGCTTAGATTCTGTTTAAATCTCTTTAATGTTAGTTTACATGGCTGCCCTTCAACCAAAGGCTTTTTTTTTTTTTAACTCCATTGAGAAACTTTGTCTCAATCTGCCATGTACAAATACCTTTTTTTTATTTCTTCTTTTCTCAAGCTTTTAAAGTAAGTCTAGTTTCCTCAAAAATTTTTTAAATGGCATTTTACAACTTTTTACTTTACCACACAGAGATTATCTCATCTAAAAACATTTTTTTCCTTTAACCTTATATATTAAAATATATTTCCACATCTTGAATCTTTTTCTCTCTTTTTTAACCGTTAACCCTTTTTATAAATTCACATTTTGAAACAACTCTTATAAAATTTCTGATTTAGACAAATTACTCCACTTTAATAAGATGAAAGACTTTCATGTTTTTTATGATACTATAACACTATAATTGAAACCTAACTGAAAATTTTTCTACTCTTTGTATATAAATTACACATGATAGAATCTTAACACTTAGTAACCTTGTTTTAGCAAAGACACAGACCAAAGCAATATTAAACATTTTTCCATTTACCAATTTATGAAAACACACATAATGTTTAAATATATTACCTTATGGAACTTAATAAGTAAAGAGTGGTTGCTGTTTCAACATTTTAGCTTTGTAAATTAATCAGAACTTTGTAGAAACCAAGATCTTAGACAAGTGTAGCAAACAGAACTAGCCCTCTCTTTCTTGTTGAAGAAAAATCTTTCTACAGGATACCATGATGGTCCCATTGATATACTTAATAACTTGTCTTTAAAAAGCCATTGGCTACATTTTTGTATTGTATCAACATATGCCCTAATTGTTCTTGGTCTCACTGGGGTGCCTCCTTCCTCTAACAATTTCTCTTGCTCGGAGGCGAACAAATTCAAACCTTGAGTCACCCATTTTCCCCAGTTTGCCTGAGAAAGTTCTAGGAACAGGCAACTTGAAATAAAAACAAAATAAATCAAAACAATAACACATTGTTTTTTGAAATGTTCACCCATTCTTTCTCTCTTCCTCAGGGGCGAGCAATTTCACTTACCTCTAAGCTTCAGAAGTTCCCCGTACGGGCCACCAAATGCCAATGTCTGGCTGGGCACAAATGCCGCAGTCTGGCTGGGCACACAATCACGAGCCACCACACAGCTTGTAGATTTTGGTAGCTGGGGAAATGTTATTCTCTGATTGGCTTAGATCCATACCATCACTGTGACAAGGAAATAGAATTGTTCTAAGTGGTTTAGAGTAATTAGGGCCCTCCTTTGGATCTGAAGATGAGACCAATACATTGCAAGCATTGTGGTAGTCACTCAAGGAGGTTGAAATGGATGTTAGAGAGACAACTTCTATGACTTCTACAACAAATAAGCAATTTTAAACAATTTATTAGTGTTTCTAAGTGTCTTTATTTCCCTTTTGAAGTCACTAGTTAATTCACTACACTGAATTGACGCAGAGATACAGTTGGTATATGGGGAGACTGGTGTCTTATTCCCAAACCAGGTAGTTACCAAAGTTCACAATCTTGGAGCTTGAGAGGGATAGGGAAGGAAAGAAAAGAAAAAAAGAACAGACTGCCCATCCTTCTGCTGCCAAACCCTGAACTTAGAAGTCATAATTTAGCTGGGAGTGGAAGAGGCTTGGAGGAAACTTAACTAGTATGCAGGATGGAAGGATTTTTATATTGAATTCAGCTTTCTTACACAGTAAAACATTTAATACTATCCCCAAATTACCCTACCTAAGCTGTTTTCAAGAAGTAAGAAAGAAAAGTTCAAAAGGACATTATTTTAACCTAGTTGTGGATTTTTTTAAGTTTTACATTACATTTTTAAAATGAAGTAAAAACCTATTTAAACCAGCTTATTTAATGTCTTGTGAGAAGCAGTCTAGAAAGACTTCAAGGTGGAAGAAGGCATTTAACCCTATCTTCAAAGGATAACTTGGTTTTAGTTTTGACAGGAAATATGGGGAGGGGATGGATGAGATAGCAATTATCCACCTGCAGGTGTCCATCTCTTATATTGTCAGGGTAGACAACTGGTCTCCTCAAGAACACAATGTAACCAGGCTTCCCAGCTGTCAGTCAATGGTTTTGATGAGAGACTTGCATAGTTTCCTTGCCATCTGCTCTTGCCACAGCTGCTAATATGAACATTCCTTCCCAAAGAAGAAACAGTTATATTTCATAGCTGGTTGGTGAGAAGGGTATGAATGGGAATATTAGACACTGGACATCCAGCAACAGAAAGATAGCTTGTAGCTATAGAACATTGGTGGCATAGGTCTGGCAGGGAGTTTTGATGCTTATCCTATTACTCTGAGCCACAACCTTTAATAACCTTTCTGCATATCTAGTTTAGTAAGAGCTGATATCCATGTCTGTTTCCTGTGTCTTTTAAAACTGCTGCTTAGTGATTTTTCATGCCCAGATCTGATGACATGTGGGGAACAATATTATCTTTCACTAGGTTGAATTGGAACATGTGGATACTTTGTCAGGACCTTGCAAACAGGAAGGGCTATAGGTCATGAGTATTATATCACCTTTACTTCTCACTTAACCTACTGTGTGTATCTAGAGGCACTTCTCAGCTTGTGTAGCCACTGAGAGAGAGGGGTCAGCACCACAAAGGACACCGACACCACTGGCTTGTGTCTGTTTTCAGAGTCAACATTACTCAGTCACAGTTCCCATTCTCTGAATGAATACCTCATGGTTGACATGGAGCCCTGCAGCCCATTTCCTTCTCCCATTGAGAGGAAGAGGAACTTTCCCTGGGTGAGGGTAAGTCAGTCACTTCATTCTAGAAGTCTGCTTCTGAGGAACAAAGTAGCACCAATTCTATGTATGCTGGGAAATGGGTTGGGTCAGGGCCACAGTGAGCCATAAACTATGTTTTAGTAAATATATTTTTTTGCAGCCAGAAATCAGTTTCTCCTGGAAATTTCAGTAGAACGAATTATTTCTAAGATGACATGGCAAAGCAGTAATGTTGTTAAGACATGTCCTGTTCAATATGGTAACCACTAGCCATAGTGGCTATTTAAAATTAAGTTTAAATCCATTAAAGTTTGAATTCTAATTCCTCAATCACACTAACCAGATTCCAGTCCCTAATGGCCTCATGTGGCTGATGGCTGCCATATTGGAATCTGAGACTGAGAACATTTCCATTATTACAGAATGTCCTGTTGGAAAGTGATGTTTTTATTACATCATAATTAAGTTGGTGGTTATAAAAAATTCTCCACTTTCTTGGCATGGTGTCAACATGCCTGTTATTCCTATTACTTGGGAGGCTGAAGTAGGAGGACAGCAAGTTAAAGGCCTTCCACAGCAACTTAGTGAGAACCTGCCTCAAAATAAAAAGAAAAAAATTAAAAGGAATGAGGATGTAGCTCGGTAGTAGAGCACTCCTGGGTTCAATGCTCAGGACAAAAAAAAAGTATCTCTACACTGATTATCCTCTATCTGCCTCAGCATTTCCCCACCCTCTTTGTTTCCTTTTCTATAGGTATTTTATTTTGATATAGCTATAGTATAGTGTCCATTTCAACGCAAAAGTTATATATGTACTTTTTAAGACAATGTGGAGGTTTTTATAGGGTTTGAATGAAAGGACTTACTTCAGGGAAGCATCTTACCACAATGCTTGCTGCATATCTAGTTTAGTAAGAGCTGATACCCATGTCTGTTTCCTGTGTCTTTTAAAACTGCTGCTTCGTGATTTTTCATGCCCAGACCTGATAACACTAGGGAACAATATTATCTTTCACTAGGTTGAATTGGAACATGTGGATAATTTGTCAGGTACTTGCAAAAGGAAGGGCTTCCAGTACCCTACTCTGAAAGCTGTGGCTGTGTGGCCTCAAATTTTTTATCAGAGAAACCATGAAGGACCCTGCATCCTCCTACATATATAAATGGGCTGGGGGGATTCCCAGAAACCAGCCTTGTGTCAATTGATCAGAACGTCCCCTCTGCATCCAGCCCAAATGGCTATAGACCTACCTTTATGGATCAACCTGAAATAATGTCATTAGCATATGCTGCACCAGGCTTTCTTCCACAAGGATGACACAGGGTCCTAGGAGAGGAGAGAGAAGGGAAAGAGGGATGATGAGATCCTGCCACAATATTTCAGTTTGGGTGTCTTGAAGAACATCTACTGAATACTTGCTATCAACCCACTAACAAAAATGCAAGAAGAAAGAACCTCATGCTGATGGAGCATATCCAAAATTCAGGAAATCCTAGCTTCTGCTCTCTAAGGACAATTGTTTGGTAATTGTTTCACTTTTCTTCTCCTGAAGTTTCTTGTTTTGTTTTTTGGTATCAGGGATTGAACCCAGAGGTACTTAACCACTGAGCTGCATCTCAAAATATTTTGAGGCAGGGGCTCAATAAATTGCTGAGTCTGGCTTTGAACTTGCAATCCTCCTGCCTCAGCCTCCTGAGTCACTGTGATTACAGGCATGTGCTATGGGCTTGCTCTGCTGCAGTTTCTTAGAACATGATATGAGTGTTTGCTTGTCTAGCTGCTGAGCAGAATGCTTTCCCCATGAAAAAATGTTTGGGTAGTCACAGCTGGTCACACTATGATTTGGCTCAAATCCCAGCCCTCAAGAACTAACTAGAGTACATCCTAGTAACTGACATATTTTTTTCACCCTAGGCAAATCTTTTAAAACAATCAAATAATACTTAAGTGCAGCAGACAAATGCCAACCTGAGCAGAAATAATGATTTGGAAAGCTCCACTACTGAATTGTTTCCACCAATAAGAGACAAGCATACTACATACAGATGGGGAAGAAATGATTTATTAGAAATAATTCCAGAGTGAGCCATTCCTTCCCTAAAATTAGAAGAGTGTTTGTTCACAGATGGCAGTGAGCATCCTGTGGAAACTCTGCTTCCCTGCAATCTGGCTCAAAGAATTCTGTTTTCTATGCACACTTAGTTCCTAACCTTCTCACCACCATATATATATATATATATATATATATATATATATATATCCCCACTATATGCCACTAGGACCTGGAAAATGGAAGTTTCTAATGGAATAATGTGAAGAGTACAGAGGAAAACTTGCCCAGCCTCCTATGACATCCTGAAGGTTCCCAAAGCAGCTTTCATATTCCCCATAATATAACCTTTCAAGGAAAAGGTGTTCTAAAAGTGTTTTTATATTGTAGTGTGAGTTAGTTGCTGCTGTCTCTCACAAGGGTATTTATATTCCAAGTAATATTATGAACTGGAAAGTTCTCTCCTATGGAAAAAATTCTTGACTTAAGGCTGAGGTGAGGGTGATCTTTTTGGGACAGAGGACCTGACATCTTACACTTCCCAGTATGTAGATTTTTAATGATGAAACCAAATAAAACTAAGAAAATGCATGTTTATATTCATGGAGCCAAGTAACTTCAGCTTATTAATAAGAATTGGAGATTTGCCTCACCAAATGACAGTGACACAGCACTACCAAACAACGTGGCAAGGGCTAAGACTGTGACTCTTGTTGACTCTTGTGGGTTTACTGAGTGTCAGACCAAAAGCTTGTGAAATGGCATGTCACCACCATGATATTTTTTATCATTTTCATGTAAAATTTCCATTGTACTGGCTTTATAATGTTCACAACAAATACAGTTCTACACATATCTAATTTAAAAATAAATATGCAGCTTTTACTATGTACTAGCACTTTTTATTCCCCAAATCAGACCTAGATACAACTACTCTAGCTCTTACAGATGAGTCTAAATGAGGAAAAGGTGGAGTGTGTGTTTCTTAAACTTTGAGATTCCTGTTTGTGCCAAAGTTCTAGATTCATAACATAGATGTTTGAGCTCTCTGCTCTAGTTATGGTGGTGACATAACTAAGTCCCCAGTTTACATTTTGGCTGGATTCCCCTTGAGTGAACAAGGGTACAACATTAGTGGGGATTCTGTGGAGTGAGGTGAATCTTAAGAGTAGTTTTGATTTACATTTCTCTAATTACTAGAGATGTTGAACATTTTTCAAATATTTGTTGCTTGATTGTATTTCTTCTTCTGTGAAGTGTCTCTTGGGTTCCTTAGCCCATTTATCAAAGACTTAGGCATTAGAATAGAGATCCAGCACCTAATAGAAAAAAAATGTAGGCCCAAATCTTCATTGTCAGCCTAGGAACTGACTTCCTCAACTAGAATCCTAAAGTGCAAGAAATAAAATCAAGAATCAATAAATGGATTACTCATACATTGCTGGTGGGGCTGCAAATTGGTGCAACAACTATGGAAAGCAGTATGGATATTCCTTGGAAAACCTGTAATGGAACCACCATTTGACCTAGTTATCCCACTCCTCAGTCTATACTCAAAGGATTTAAAATCAAGATACTACAGTGATGCAGCCACATCAATGTTTATAGCAGCTCAGTTCACAATAGCCAAGCTATGGAACCAACCTAGATGTCTTTCAACAGATGAATGGATAAAGAAAGTGTTGTATATATACACAATGGAATATTACTCAGCCATATAGAAGAATGAAATTATGGCATTTGCGAGTAAATGGATGGAACTAGAGATTATTATATTGCGTGAAATAAGCCAATCCCCCAAAACCTGCTGAATGTTCTCTCTGATATGTGGATGAGAGGATGGAAGGGGAAGAATAGAAGAATATGAGTCTATTGGATTAGACAAAGGAGAATGAAGGGAGGGGGAGTAGGAAGGGGAAAAGGAAGGACAGTAGAATTAACTGTCATTAACATAACTTTCCTATCCTTGTATTTGAATACATCACCAGGGTAACTCCACATCATATACAGTCACAAGAATGGGATCCTGTGTATGTATGTCAAAATATGCCTATTGTCACATATATATAAAAAGAACAAATAAAAAATACATTTAATTGTTTAACCAAGTATTTTACATACTAATTTGACTGTAGATCTTATGTTAAACAACTTTTATTATCCCAAGGGACATACTGTGATCTGCTCACTTGGCCCTAACCATCTCAGCCTCCTTACTCACTTTTATTAATAATTCAGGATTTCAAAGTTTGCATTGGAGGAAGTATGTTCCAGATTATTAGAGAACTGTTCTTATTAATACATGCACACAGTAACACAGAAAACAGACCTATAAACAGAATATTAAAATAAAATAGAGTAAATGCATAAAGACCAGGGACCATAGATAATCTTACTCTACTGAGATAATTCTCCCCCAAATCGCTAACAGAAGTTGTACAAATGTACAGGTCCCTATTTCACAGTCAGGGAAGACTATACTAGGAGGATTCCCCATGAGTGCTAAAATGAGTCTCACCTCACCCAAGTGTTACCTCTTGAAGTTAGTGAAGGCTAATTGTTCCCACTGGTCCAGCCAGGGCCTAAAGTTGAGCTGGGTCAGTGTTGTCTACATCAATCCTGAATTCCCATCTGATGGCTCAATAAAGGATAAAGCTTTGAGGGATGAGGAATCTGTCATCCAGCACACATGTATTATCCTCCAGGATCGCTTCCTAGAGTGGATTCCTTGTTCTTAACCCTAAATGTGAAGGAGGAATTCGAGCAAAGAACATCTTCCATGTAAAGCTCTAGGCTCTGCACTGTCTCATTCCTCCTAAGGAGCTGCGTCTCTCTGCATGCAAGATCTGCTTTCTAGATCTGTTTATGGTAACCAAGCTGCAGGAGAAATTAATAGATTCCACACCATGGGGTACAGTGTTATGGGGTGAATTTTTCAAAGGACAATACTGCCCCCCAGTGGAACACTCACAAAACCGCGACGTTTCTAATTAGGTGAATAGAGGCCGCTCTTCACCTTTACTTGTTTGGGAGTCGCCAGGAAGGAAACCGGGAAGCAGGGTAGAGAATCTTTTTTACCATTGTAGGATCCTGAGAAAAAGGAATGGACCAGCAGTTCTTGCTAACCTCTCAATGTGAAAACAGCCCCTGATTAAATCCACATTCCAGGTCCTTGCCAAGGAGGTTCTGATTTTGCAGAGTGAGATACTGGGGTGAGATATTGGGGTGTTCCGTGTTTCTACCCAGCGTCATTGGGATCATTTGGTAAACGGGGACACTCTGGGCTGGGAAGCGGCTCCTTGCTTCCTTAGGAGCACCCAGATGTCGCCCCTTTGCTCTACGTTTATGCAGCCTCTGCGGCAGCGCCTCAATGCAGCCACTGCGGACCCGCCCACTCGCAGCGGATCTGCCACGCCCCCCTCAGTTTCCATGACGACCTGACCCTGCACCTTCCCTAAGCCGCCAAGATTTCCAGGACTTGGGGCCAGGCTGGCTTCAGCATCCTTGGCGTCGATGAGAGAGTTGCTCCTGCCCTGGCAACCACAGCTAGATCTGGAATTGGGGATTTTCGTTCAGGGCAGGTTAAGAGGTAACTTTATTATTAATATCTGTTTAAATATTTTGCTTATTAGTTTGAGTACTTGTTGAGATTTAATGGTTTTGTTTCTGACATGTCCTATTGGTACCTTTTTTTCTATTATTTTACCTTCAGCTTCAATTGTTTTGGATAGAGAGATTGATCCCTGGCTAAGAGAAGACGAAAGGTCTACCCGTCCAGCAATTTACCTTTGCTCTGTGATCTATCTTCCTATGGGGGACAAGGGCACTCAGGTATGTAGCATATGTCATTAGCCACAATAAGGAGGTCCCCAGTTGTGGACAACCAGAGACATGAAAAATTGTGCTCTATTTGTGTAATATGAATTGAATTGCATTCTGCTGTCACATATAACAAATAGAATGAATTTTAAAAATATAAGAAAAGAACAGTTAAAAAAAAAGGAAATGTGAGTCAAGTGAGAAAAAAATATTTTATCTGCTTGACATTTGCTAAAAGGAATCTAACATTTTCCTCCTGAATGATAAATGACTCAGATACTTCTAAATACTTATATTTCTAGATTTTTATATTCTGACTGCTCTGCTGATGACAATGTAACTGATTAATTGAAACCAAGGTATTAATGTGTTTTTTTAAGTGCTTACACTAATTCTGATAGTTTTTAAATTAAATACGCTTAGTGAAGATGTTTTAATGAAATTACTCTTAAATTGGAATTTTATAAGTTGAATCGCAGATTTCCTTTGCTTTAGAGTGATATTTGGTTGTTAAATAACTGTGATGGTATATGGGAAAATGCAGTTTTAATGATCTAGTCAAAGGGAAATTTATTTCTGTAAACAAATTGCATTTGAGGTGGAATCAGTGACAGGGGATTAGTTTGAGTTCACCTGCTGGTTGTCAAAGATTCTGGCTTTTGTAAATTTTCATGGCAAAATTTGAAGCTAATAACTAACTCCCTGCGTTAGTTAGACAGGCTGCGTGGCTGGAGGCAGCAGACATGGTGTCTCAGACACAATGCAGCTGTGTTTGAGATGCCAAGCACCTTGTTGTATCTAGTGAGCAGGACTCCTGTGCTTGCATCCTGCTGATGAGGCCAAATATTTTGAGCAATTGCATGGTTACTGGGCAGTCAAGGGGAATGTGCTGTCATCTCTGAGCAACACGGCAGTGTCCTTCATCAGAGATGGAATTCTGACTTTGGGGAGATTTTGAATGGTGGAAATGAGAAAGAAGGAACTTGTGTTTTCTGTTTCCAAATGGAGATAAAGATAGAGAAGTCAGTTTGCATAATACTACCAAAATTGTCTTTCTTTCTTTCCCTTCCTCCCTTCCTTCCTTCCTTCCTTCCTTCCTTCCTTCCTTCCTTCCTTTCTTTTTAAAACAAAATAGATAAGAAAGTAGTTTTTTAAATACTTTAAACATTTTTATTATATCACCATTTAATTTTTTCTCCTGACTTTTTCCTCAAAGAAGCAGAGGTATGTATAAAATATATAAATATGATAAATTTTCTTCTGTAAGATAATACCAGGGAAAAAGGAATAGAAGAGTCAGACAGAAAAAGTCCAAAAAGAAAGAAATATGGAGAAATGTCTGTCCTCTTTATCCTTTAATAATTACAGAGTTGCTGCACAATTGACTGAATATTCTTGGGTCTGGGCAGAGGTGAACATGATGAACCACAAAATTCTCATTATCTGGAAAAGAAAACCTAACTGTCTGCTCAGAGAAAAAAGATTTTCCATAGGAGCAAGTTATATGTCTGAAAGAAACTTCTGCAATGGTATCCTTTAGGTAGCGCTGTTCGTCTGTATTTTTTTAACGCAGTTTATGATTTGTGATCTATAAATATATCTTACTTGTGATGAAAAAGTCCATCAGCCACTGTTGCGACATTGTCTCTGACCACAGATATTAACCAGTTTGTTAAGTGCTCAGTGTTTCATTTGGTGCTAAAAGGATACAAGATCTCACTCTGGAGTAAGAACTAGTTGGGCAAACAAACACGGCAAGAGAAAGGACCTACATTACAGTTTTGCTGGTATAAGTAGCACTCGTAAGCACAGAGAAGGGAGCAATGGATTTAGCTAGAAAGTGTGAAAAGCAGGACAGCTGAGATGACATAAAGCAACACTTAAGTTTCACAGCTGAAAAGGAAAGAAAACACTTTCCACAGAGAGGGAACAAATGAGCAAAAAGCACGTAGGCGAAATTAATTCATTGGCAGCCCCAGACAAGGATAGTTTGTCCATAGCTTGGGAGTGACAATAAGGGGACCTGGGTTTAATTGAGTTTTAGAGAACAATTAGGTGGCTGTTCACTTAAATTTTCTGATCTCTGATTTCTCACACTGCCTAGTGCTCCAGCCCAGGTCCTGGGAAGTTAAGCAGGATTGTGGTGGGTAACACTGGCCTAGCATCAGCAGTCATATTCTGCTGGGTCCTGGCTGGATTATGAAGTACAGGAAGTTGTCAGATATATTCTTCTGCCCATTCTGAAACCTCTTTTGCCATCTACAAATATCCTTAGGAATATCTGTCCTGTCATTAAACAATTTTCTGTTACTTCTTCCAGTGGTGCTGAACTTAAAGGTTTTCTGTAATTATGCAATGAAAGATTTAGAATACCAATCTGCATGCATTTAGTTCATGTTTGTAAGGGGAGCCCTGCCTTCATCCAGGAAATATGTCCCATAGGCTACTGCATACTCAGGTCTCATCAAACCCAGCCTTCCATTTCCCCTATTTTGACCATCTCCATCCCTACCTTCCCTCTCCCCAAAGATAAAACTCCCCCTGCCTCCAGTTTGGTTCAAGGCTGCTTCTGTTTGTGAATACAGCCCACTGTTCTTACACTGATTTGTGCTGATGTCACTAATATTGCTGTCAGCCTCTTTCATGTTGCCAGCTGATTTGGTTATATTTGAATAGTGATGCAAATGAAAAAGCAAGTTAGAATCATAAGGAAATTTTTATAGATTATCTTTTCAATATTGTTTGCAAATTTTATTGACTACGATCCACAGAAAACTTTTTTACATTATGACTGAACAACAATTTATTGAAAATAATACTGAAGAGCCAGATATGGCATATGCTTGTAATATGAGCTACACGGGAGGCTAAGGTAGGAATATCACAAGTTTGAGGCCAGTCTCAGCAACTTAGTGAGACCCTGTTTCAAAATAAAAGGGGCTGAAGGTATATAGTTCTTGCTTTGTATGCATGAGCCATTGGCTTTAATCCCCACTACTACAGAAAACAAAAAATCCCCAGACTTAATTTTATTACATATGATAGACTATTCTGCTCTATTCTTGATTTCATCCCACTCCATTCCTTTCCATTTTATTCAGTTTCACCTGATTAAAAAAAAAAAAAGTGTGTTGATTGCTGGGTGGCGCACTTCAGTAATCCTAGATGCGCCAGAGGCTGAGGCAGGAGGATGGCGAGTTCAAAGCCAGCCTCAGCAATGAAGAGGCACTAAGCAACTTAGTGAGACTGTGTCTCTAAATAAAATACAAAATAGGGCTGGGGATGTGGCTTAGTGATTAAGTGCCCCTGAGTTCAATCCCTGGTACAAAAAAAAAAAAAGAAAAGAAAAGAAAAAAAGAAAGTGTGATGAGCAATTTCAATACTTGGCATCTATTTAACAAAATCACATACATTAAAATATCAAAAGAATTTCCATAGCAACATTATGTGTCATTGTCAAACTGGAAATAATCTAAGTGTTCACCAAGAGTAGAATGGATAAATAAATAAAACTGAATAAATGAAGTATTAGTATGAGGAAGAACATCATAGATGAATCTTGTAAACATGATGTTGACAAGAGATGTCAGACATATTGAATGACTCAATTTTTATAGAGAAAAAAATCTATGAGAAAGAATTGAGGGAAGTGGTTGCTCTTGGGGAGGGCAAGCAGCAGTGAGCACAGGGAACAAAGGTGCTGGTTCTGCTTCTTGATCTGGGTGTCAACATTCATCAGGCTTTTTATTTTGATGGGTTTTTCCAAATGTATATTTCCAAAAAAGAGAAATGCTTGCTAAAAGGAAAAAAACAATAGGTAACTGCAAATTCTTAAGCTGATTACTAATCAGTCATCACCACCGATCTGAAAACACTGGTCTGGTTCAATCCTCTCACATCACAGATGAAGTGAGACCCAGAAAGATCCAGAGATGTGGCCAAGGATGGGCCTTAATCTGGATCCCACACTACTTCAGTTTAGTACTCTATTATACTGCAATTTCTTTTTTTTTATTTTGAAGAAAACAGTCTCTAAACTCATTTCTTTTACTCCTTTTAAAAATTTTATTATTTTAAAATTTTGGGGTGCATTGGGATACATTTATACATGTATATGAAATAATTTGGTCACTCCAGCACCTCTCCTTGCCCTCTCCTCCTCCCTTTTCCTATTCCCTTCCTCTACCCTATTAGTCTCCCTTCTATTTTCACAAGATTACTGTTTTTCTTTCTTCTATCTTCTGCATATGATGGAAAATATATGACCCTTGACTTTCCAAGTTCAGCTAATTTTGCTTAATAAGATGCTCTTTGTTTCTATTCACTTTTCCTACAAGTGATGTAATTTCATTGTTTTTGTATGGGATGAATAAAAACTCATTTTGTATATATACTACATTTCTTTATCAATTCATCTATTGATGAACATCTAGGCTGGTTCTGTAATATTTGCTATTGTGGATTATGCCGCTATAAACATGGGTATGTGCATATCACTATATTATGCTGACATTGCTGTGCCATGGGGTGGTTCCATTCCTAATTTTTTGGGGAACTTCCATACTGATTGCCCTAGTGGCTGTACTAGTCTGCAGTCCCACCAGTAATGTACAAGTGTACCTTTTCCTCACATACTCATCAGCATTTATTTTTTGTATTCTTGATGATTACTATTCTAACTCAAGTGAGATGAACTCTCAGTGTAGTTTTAATTTGCATTTTCCTTTGTTTTTGAATAAAAGAAGTATTATTTTATTGCTGCTTAAAAATTATTCATTTATATATATGCCTATAATTACAGTCACTTATACATATGAATGTTATTTATAAGAATGTTGACATTCTATACTGTCACTCAAGATATACTACCAACATGCACTATTTTTTAATTGATGGTTTAAAAATAAATGACATTGGAATACATTTCAATTCTTATTACACATATACAGCACAATTTTTCATATCTCTGGGTGTATATAAAGTATGTTGACACTAATTCATGTCTTCATACA